TTTCTTTCAAATTATATACATATATTGCTTTATAAACTAAAAAATCCGACATTGTCTAGCATCGATTTATAAATTGATAGCACATAACTGATTATTTCGCTAGTTGCATTAATATATCTATATTTTATTTTTTAACGGTATATAATTTTTCTGATACGCGCGTGGACTGATGTCGCGTGAAGCATTATGTAGTGGCTGAGAGAGAGTAACAAGCCGCATGTTTTTTTTATATAATTTTGATGATAGTTTATTCTATAATTTCTATAAGTAATTGCAAATTAAATTAGGCAATCGACATTTTTTTTTATATCGTCGGCTATAGTAAAAACTTAAACATAAATGAGCGATTTGTTGTTGATTGTAGTCGATAATAATATCGCCAAACGGTGAATAATTATTTATTTTTTAAACTTTTATTTGCTACATACACAAACAGATTTGAATACTTATTTATATATTTTGTATGTTTTTTAACTTGTTTAAAAAGATTTCTTTTAGAGATTTTAATTCTTTTTATTGTGTGTGTGTGTGTGTGTGTGTGTGTGTGTGTGTGTGTGTGTGTGATTCTCTAAGATCATAATATTAAAGAATTCTTTACATTTTTTTAATTTATAATAGATTTTGCAACATTTGCATTAACAACACATTGCATTAACAACACATTAAACAGAAGTCATAAAAGGAAATTGAATGTTAACTTAATAAAATTATAAATTAATAAATTTAAAAACTAATAAATTTTTTAATTAATTAAGTGGATGTTAACTTATATATAGCATGCGAAAACTTGTCACACGTTAGGAAAAATGTATCCAATTAAATGGTGATGTCGAAAAATAAGTAGATTTGTAATCAATAAATTATACTTTTATTCTATTTTTTGTTTTTTTATAATTTGTGTAACATTAATATGCAATACCGGCAATAATATATTGTTTAATTAATATTGTTAGTGTCGTATTGAATACGTATATTTTTTAATAGTGTTTGTATTTAATATGCATTGTATTATAGATATTACATTTTTATGATCAAAACGAGAAGCGAAGCAATAAGAGAGTATAAAATTTGTTTTATATTATACTCTGCTTCGCAATTCTAAAAAATTTACAAGTTCGGTGACTATTCCAAAAGTATGTCGATTGACTATTATTTACAATCAGTAAATATAATACAAATTAGCAAATCAACATCATAGTTCTATTCTTGCAATACTATCCTGTTTGTAACAGATTCTCTCTCTCTCTCTCTCTCTCTCTCTCTCTCTCTCTCTCTCTCACACACACACACGCGCGCGCGCGCACTCGCTCTTTGTCTCTCTCTCTCATTGCTGTGTTATCAAAAATTATTTAAATGTTAGTTAAATGCTGCATACAGGGTATCCCAAAACATTCGATCAAACATTAACACTATATTCTAAACATGAAAACAAACCAAAAAAGCTTAATAAGTATAGGTCCGAAATCTAACCATTAATGAGTTACATTAATTTAAACTTGTGAACACATAACCTAACATAATTGCAAATAAACTAGGATCAAATTCACACGCAGTTACAAGAACTGTTCAAAGTAATTACTTCCAGCAGCAATACATGCTTCAACATGCTTTCTCAGGGATTGCTGAATTCTGTCGAAAATAATAAGAGAGTTCCAATAATAAGAGAGTATATCAAACAAATTTACAATGCGCTCCCAAAGTTCATCAATATTTTTGATGAAGACTAAAGTGTATTGTTCTAGACTGCAATATTTATTTTGTAGAAGTATTTTAATGGTAACTTACATCTTTCTTTACATATTTCAAAAAATAATTTTAAATCTTGAAATTGATATAACTCGTTAATGGTTGATTTTTGGACCCATGTTTATTAACTTTTTTGTTTGTTTTTATCTCTAGAATATAGTGTTAACGTTTGGCCGAATGTTTTTGGGACACCCTGTATAATGATGGCCGAAACTAATGTTTCTCAAGCAACCAAACAAAGAAACATTGAGATTATGAGCTAATTCTTGGAAAGTACCCGCCCATTTTCTTTCAAATGTTTCTCTGCATTTACATTGTGTGCGTCATTGAGTGATGTGCTTAAGCGTTTATTTCTCGATTGTTATTTTTCTGGATAATTCTTTGCTTAAAATACTTAATATAAAAATAGCTGCTAAGTTTAAAACTTGTTTTATTGGTTTTGTGAATTAAAGTAAATTTTGGATTAAAGTAAATATTTTTTTATTACTTTTCTCTTGGCAGTTTTTTACAAAAAAATTTATTATAATTATTTTATTTACAATTCTGATAACTTAAAAAAACATTTATAATGCATTATTTTATGCAGCAATTTAGATAATTATTGATATTAATGAACGCATAAACAGAATTCACACTCTATTTAAACACACGATAATGTTGAAAGTTTATATGATAATAATAACTCTGGCTTGTCAATTTTCGCCATATTTGTTAAGCAATATGTGAATATATGTACTTTTTGACAATTCTAATACTTTTACTTCCAGTTATTATATATTGTCACAAACATAAATTAAAAAATTATTTGTGATTCAAATTTTACATAACCTAGTTCAATCCTAGGAAAAAAAACTATAAAAAAATTATTTTTTAAAATAGAAATAAAAAATAAATACAGAAAAAAAATATTAGACTATTTTATGATGTAATTAATAAAGAAATTGTATAACCTTAGTACTTATATATTTCTCTTTCTCTTATACAGGGTGTCTGATAATAATTGCCCCATCCGTAATGTGCAGGTAGAGTGGGTTAAACTGAACAGAAAAGTCCTGTAACATTTTTTTATATAATGGGCAGACTTTACTCAATAATAACTCCTTTATTAAGCGTTATAGAAAAAAATGTTACAGGACTTTTCTGTTCAGTTTAACCCACTCTACCTGCACATTACGTGGGGCAATTATTATTAGACACCCTGTATATACATAAGAAAATATATGCATACACACAAAATGTACTTATTAGCTACATTATATATTTATTTATTTAGAAACTATTTATATACTTATATAAAAAAAATTTCAAAATAATATAATTTCAAAAATACAAAATCTTTTTACAGATACTTTTTTTATCTTCTAATTAAAATTTTTTATTTCTTAAAGTTTTTTTTTGAATTATTTTTGATATTTAAAATATTTACAATTCTAAAAAATTACAGATTGATAAGAATATAACATTACAATTCAAAGTTTGTTTTAGAATGTATTGTTTTAAAAATATTTTTTTAAAAAATAAAAATCTATATATGAAAATAATTATTCATTCAATAATTTCTTAGATTTTTTATCAACATTTTTTCATTAGAAATGTATGAAGAATATACAGGGTCTCCCGAAATTAAATATCAAAACTTCGGAAGCATATGGAGGTCGATAAACTAAGAAAAAAAGTCCTGTAGAGATTTGCTCGTTTTTGCTTCGTTTTGGAGAAAATCACAAAAAAAGGAAACAAAAAAATATTCAATAAAAAACAACACTAAAATTATTAGATTTATCGAAAAGTACCATGAGATAAAAGTTGTAAAATATGGAATTAAGAAAAGAGATTGAATTAAAATCCTCCTGAAATTACAGGATTGTAAATAAATACATGACAACTTGGAATTATTGTATCTTGTTTAGTTTATATTTACATTAAGGAAGTAACAACATGAATAAATAAGTGTAAATAATTAAGTAAAGTAACACTAAAAAGTTCTTATTTTTCACTTATTTATTACTTTTTTAAGTATTTAAGTAATAAATATATTATTTATGGCATGAGAACATTATGATGAATTACATCAGAGAATACAAAATGTCTGTCAAATAGTTAAAACAATGCCGAGATTTTTTTAAAGAGTTCGTAATTCTGTGGTACGAAGATGTAAAGCGTGTGTGGAAATGAGAGGAGGACATGTAAAAAACTTTCTATAAACTTTGAAGTTTAAAGAATTCTTCTTTTTTCTTCTTTTGGAAAAACAAATTCTTCTTTTGAATGAAGAAATAGTAATCCGTTGGTGATAATTCCGACAATATTAATTTTTCAACCCATGTTTATTTGGACCTTTTTCCTCCATTACGTGAGTACTATTTGTCCTGAACCCTTTTTTTCAACACTCTGTATATTAATAAAAAATATTTCTGATGATTTAGAAACCCTAATATAAAAAATACTTAGCAATTTAAACAATAAAAATGTAAGTGTTTCAAGATATCAAATAATTAGGATACAAACATTCACACATCTAATAATAAATATCGAAAATCTATCAATTCACGAATATAAAAATCACAATTTATAAAACTTAAAAATAAAAATATTCAAAATATCTAAAACATCAGAACATTAAAAATACAAAACCATAAAGTTTAAAACTATTATTCACAAGCTTTAATAATTTGAATTTTAAATAATTATGAAGAAATATAAAAAATAGAGAATTATATAATTACATAATTAAATTGTTCATGATATATATTAAGAAACGTAACCCTATTATAGATTTTTTGAAATAAAATTCTTTAAGAATATATGTGTGTAGTAAAATAACTTAAAAGAGATTTATATAGATTAATCAAACAATTGTTTATTTTATTATACTATAAAATCGAAAGAAGAAAAGAGAAAGAGAGGGAAAGTTAAGGATCAAAGATCTTAATTCAAGATTATAACAATTCAAGAATTTTCGAATTCTAAACTATTATTATAAGCAAGAATATAATAATATACATATATATATATTTGTGAGATTAAATACAAATTAAAGAGATACAATATTTAAACATATATTGATCTATTAGCTAACAATTAAACCTCATGCCTAATTATTAAATGTAATCAACTGTAAACTCTGGATTTGTTATTATTAGTTTGCAATACATTAGATATACATAAAATAAACATACAAATCTCATATATACATAAAAAACATAAAAGACAGGATCAAATCAATTTATAAATAAACAAAGATAAAAAATTTTGAATACCTTAGCTGATGTCACGGTATTAGTTGCATGAAGATCAACAATGAGTAACAAAAATATAATGACGCGTATCGTCGGTAACATCATGCTCCCCGGAATCTTTTCAATATGTTGCCAGAGAATAATCAAAGACCGAAACTACTGGACTGAAAAACACGCCCATACACGACACTATTCACATACACTCACTACATTCCTACGTTCTCAACATACAGTATATTCCCGTTTATTTGTCTTTTTTTCGAACAGTGTATATTGTGAGACACTTCTCAGTTTTCTATGTAAAAATTAATTCTAATTAATAATCTTCTCCGAGTTTTGTAGACGATCAGAATGACTAAAAGGTTAGATGGCCAAGAAAGATCCTTTGAAGAGACAGCACCAAGCGTTCCGTAACCAACCGTAACGAGTGCTGCGGAGCAACTGGCACTTGCCACTTCCTTGGCCTCTGGACACTCTGGAGCAACCGCCTGATATTTGCGGCATTCCGACACTTCGCTACTCTTTTTCTTTCAACGATACGACACTACATCCCTATCAGGAATAGAAATCTCACAATATTTCTGAAGTATTTAAAAAATAGGTTTATTTATGATATATTAATATTTCAGACAGCACGTATATACATATAAGTAATTATTAAATTAGCCATAATTATCGTATATATATATAATTTCGATAATTATGGACGCTAATTTCATAATCACTTCTAATTTTTTAATGTTTTCATCTTTTTTTATTTTTAGTAAAAAAACATACACAAACAGAAAAATGGACATAAGATCATATATGGCCATATATGATCTTATATAAATACACAAGTCTATTTTCTCTCGGGCAGAATTTTAAATATCACGATACATATACAGGGTAAATCATAAGTATGTTTTAAAATTTCGTGAGCATGTTCCTGGATAAAAAGTATGAATAAATGTTCTTATAAACATTAGGCCAAAAATGCTTCATTATCAAAATAAAGGACACAAATAAGTATCAAATAATGACTTTATTTAAAAGTTTCAGGTGGGTATTCTTTTTGTTTATAAAGGATGCTGTAAGTGTACATTTTACAATAAAATAATGAATCAATACTAATATTGCTCGGTGTTGAACTACCTCAAGCATATTGATTTGATTGTAGGTACGTTACTGTACTCAAATACAGAGGCCTACATTAAAACCCCCTTCCCCTTTCTTTCAGTGGGTCGTATTAGCGTGTGCTAGTAAACAAACATTATCCCAGAATCAAAATACTAGAGACACAACATCGTGGAGAGAAAGAATCTAAATCTGAAACTCATTAGTCAGTCATTATGAAATCTATTTGTGTCCATTATTTCGATAACGAAGCATTTTCGGTCTAATGTTCATAGAAACATTTTTCTATACTTTTTATCCAGAAACACGCTCACGAAATTTTAAAACATACTTATGACTCACCCTGTTTATATATCATTTTCATAAGTTGAATTACAATTGTAGGTATCAGTTTTATCGAATTAAATTACAATTTTTTATGTTATAAACGAAGTATATATATATATCGTAGCCAGATTAATCTGTCGTTTTATAAAACGTTTAGGCATTTTATAAAATGCAGCCACATTCTCAAATCATAGTTCAAAATGAAATATTTTACAATCTAGCTAAGAATTTTAATCTTTTTATAAAACGCTAACAAGCGACCCGCCATTGTCAAACGCAATGATTTGTACATTGTTTTAGATTTTGGCTGGTTCATTTCAGTCATTTTATGAACGATGCATTTTTACCGGCCTTACTTTATGTTACATTTGATAAAATAGTTATAATAAATGTTTTTTTTGTATTTCTTTTCACGGTTATATTTCTTTTTATTAATTGTTTTCAAACGTTATCTTCGATATACAGAGTGTTCCATTTTAAATGTCGCAGGCAAATATCTCGAAAAATATAGAAGATACAAGAAAATGTTTCAGACACATTTGCGTGGTTTGAAAGGGACTACATGATGAAAATATGGATTTGACCTTTTCAAAGCCAGGTCAATGTGATCGATGTTTTCTTAAATGGAACCCTCCATTTTTTATTGCATCTTCTTGTACTCCTTGCCGAGACCTTCTCAAAACACTATAATGAAGTATTTTTTCATTAAGTATTTTTTAAGTTATTTTATATCTTAATCTGAC